GGGTGTCTTTAAGTGCCTAACCCTCCCCCAGATCCCATCTCAGCTCATCCCGGTCACAGGCACGGGCAATGTGCCGGAGCCGCAGGCCCCCCCCTGCCACCGCCATCTGTGGGGTGGGAAATGCCTCAAGAGGGGCTCCGAGCCCCCATCACCCCCAGCCCCATCCCCGCTGCCCCCAAGGACGAGCCTCCACGCGGTTTGGGGTCCGGCCGACCCCCGGCTCTGCCTGCAGGCTCCCCATCCCAGCCAGCCCTCCTGGGCCACGGAGCTGGGGGTCCCCATCCCACCCGGTCCCACCCCGTCCCCTCGGGGTCCCCGCGCCCCTTACCCGAGCGCAGAGCGGGGCGAGCAGGCAGGCGAGGAGGAGCGGGGGGCCCATGGCGGAGCGGGGCACAGCCCGGCCGCCGGCCCCGAGCTAAAATAGCGGCGGGACTGGCTGAGTGACAGCACATGTGCTGCGGGCACCCGACCCCCCCCGCGGGCAGCTGGCCCCACCGCCCCCGGCCCGCAGCCCCTGCCCTGCCCGGCCCGGCGGGGGCCCGACGGGGGAGATGCGGGGGGCGTGGAGGGATGCAGGGGGGCGCTGGGGGGTCCCCGCTGGCCGGGCCGGGGGTGCGCAGCCCCGGGCAGGGCGGGCGGAACGCGGCAGCTGCCTCCGGGCGCGCTCCGGGGATGCCGCGACGGGGCGGGCGGGAGGGGGAGACCCGGGCCCGCTGCCCCCCCGGCTGCTCCGGAGCCGGGACAAGGACCGGCATCGGCACCGGGACAGGGACCGAGACAAGGACAGGGACCAACTCTGGCAGCGGGACAAGGACTGGCATCGGCGCCGGCACCGAGACAGGAACAGGCTCCGACACCGACAGTGGGACAGGGGCCTGGACCGGGACCAGAACCGGGATCAGGACAGGGAGAGGGACCAGAAACGATTCTTCCCGCCCCGCTCGGCCGCGCCTCCCGTCGGGGCGAGCCCGCCCGTCTATTCCCGGCCGTTCCCGGTGCCATCCATCAGTGTTGGCGTCGGGGCCCGTCCCAGTGCGGGGTCGGGAGAGGGACCGGCAGCATCCCGCGGTCCTGGCGGATTCCCACCGGCCGAGGGCTGATCCGGGAGCCCCGACAAGGCTCTCGATCCCGGCGCTGTCCCCCGACCCCCCGGTCCCGGTGCTTCCCCCGATCACCCCGGCCAGTCCCAGTGCTGCCCTCGGTCCCCGCGGCCGGTCCCGGTGTTTTTCCCGAGCCCCGGGGCCTGTCCCGGTGTTTTTCCCGAGCCGCGGTGCCTGTCCCGGTGTTTTTCCCGAGCCCCGGGGCCTGTCCCGGTGCCGCCGCCGTGCAGTGGCACCAGGTGGCAGCATCGTCGCGGGCACCGGCTCCGGTCCCGGCGGTGCTCGCAGCTCGCGGTGCCGCACCGGGGAGCGACCCCCGCCCGCCGGGGCAGGGTCCCGGGGGTCCCGGTGCAGCAGGGATGGAGAGCCGCTACCCCCCGCGCAGGGCGAAGGGGTCGAGGGGTTCTTGCCCTCCCGGGAAAGCGAGTCCTGGGCCTGGCAGGGAAGCGTACAATGTGTCGGTGACACTGGTGGCACCATCTCGTCCCTGCTCGGCAGCTGTGGGGACCCCCGACCCGAATTGTCCCTTCCTGGGAACAAAGCCCTCGGTGCCCCCCCCTGCGGGTCACGGGGACGGGGGAACAAGGCTTAGGAAAAGGGACACAGGAGGAGGGATGCAGGATGTGTCCTGTCCATACCCAGGAGCTGAGGGATGGTGGCAGGGCTGTCGGTGTCCCCAAGGACGTGTCACGAGCGGGTGAGCGCCGGGCACGGGTGACCCGCGGCGTGGCCGGGCCGTGGCTCGGGCAGCGGCGCTCACTTGCCCGTCTGTCTGTCCGATCCCATCCGTCCGCGCCGCTGCCCCGTCACCCCGCATCAGTGTCAGGGCGAGGAGCCGGCCCGGCGGCGCTGGCCGGGGGTCCTGGCGGCTGCCTCTGACGAGCCGTGGCAGCGGGGCGGCAGAGCAGATGTTCCCTGCCACCGGCACGGCGGCGCGGGGGTGGCAGATGTGACAGGCTGTGACAAGGCGCCAGCCCCGCTCGTGGGGACGGGGCTGCGGGGGGAGCACGGCAGCGGCTGCAGCACGACAGGGACCCCCGGGTCCCCTGCTGTCCCCGCACTGACACCTCCTGTCCCTTCAAACCGGGGCTCCCACTGCGGCACAGCGATTTGGGGTGCCACAAATCTACAGGACTACAACTCGCCTCGCTGCTCTGGGTGCTGGCTCACCTGATTTTGGAGGGTTCCCCAAGCGTCAGGGGCGGTGGGACCAGTTTTACCGCACAGTGTGTGGTGGTGTCACCCTGAAAACTCAGCTTCTGAGCTTGCTGACATAGTTTTCTGAGGACTTTCCCAGGACAGTAACTATAAACATAGATATGTGTACATTCTTTCTGTTACACGTCTTGTGATGGGCATCTCTCATGGCCAGTGCAGTGAGAAAGTGTTATCCTGACCATCCAATCCCTGGCTGTGGTCACAAGCCTATAAATCCTGGGAAGAAAAATAAACTTGCTTCTTCCATTCACCACACCTTGACCTGTGTCCGCGTGGTCTATTCATCTTCAGCAGCAACATGGTGGGACCAGTTGTACCCCAAAGTTTGTGATGGGACCAGTTGTACCCCAAAGTTTGTGATGGGAGCAGTTGTACCCCACAGTGTGTGGTGGGACCAGTTGTACCCCACAGTGTGTGGTGGGAGCAGTTGTACCCCACAGTGTGGGGGGAGCCGAGTTGTACCCGAGTGTGG